TTCACCTCTAAGCTACATTACAGATTGTATGTTACCTTCACTTCCACTGCTTAAATTGCTGAAGAAACAAAATAAAGCCGTTTAATTTACTCTTTCGTTGTAAATATAACAACGTCACTAGAACAATTCTAAAAGGTGTGGTTGCTTATCTCACGTTCATGAGTTTTGGCAACTTGTAAGTCATTAAGGTGTGGCAGATACTTCCTTCTTCCCAAATGCACTTTCTTCATCTCCTTTAAATCTTACATCAAATCCTCATTATTTGCTAATGCCCTGTTTGGAAATTGCCTACCTACTAAAATTTATTTGTAGCCCTCAAATCAATCACTCATGGAACCTTCACGGTTATTCACGGCCATTCATAGAGCGACAAAATCTCGTCACTTGAGAGTCACATGACCAGCTGATGTCAAACAAGGCAATGCTCAGCCTCCTGTTCCAGCTCTCATTCTGTAAACAAATGTCTTTTTTGCGGGACATGTAGCACCACATTTTTTTGCATGTGTGGTTTTGGTTGATAATATTGTTATTTAAAATGACCCCTGGGCGTGGTGGCTCACGCCTGTAATCCCAGCACTTTGGAAGGCCGAGGCAGGCGGATCACCTGAGGTCTGGAGTTCAAGACCAGCTTGGCCAACATGGTGAAACCCCATCTCTATTAAAAATGCAAAAATAAGCCAGGCATGGTGGTGGACAACTATAATCCCACCTACTTGGGAATTGCTTGAACCCAGAAGGTGGAGGTTGCAGGGAGCCGAGACTGTGCCATTGCACTCCAGCATGGATGACAAAAGTGAAACTGTCTCAAAAAAAAAAAAAGCCCTGAGAGTAGTACTAACGTCCTGTCTAGTATTTCTTAAGCACAGAAGGCTGTGATGTGCCTTACAGAAAAATTAATGTGTTTAATAAGCTTCACTGAGGCATGTTATAGTGCTGTTGGCTGTGAGCTCAGTATTAATGAATCAACAATATACAATAAATAAGATGTCTTTAAACAGAAACAAATATGCATGAAGACTGTGTTGATCAATTGACAAAAACAATGTGACCAGAGGCTTGCAGGAAACTTATCCTGTATTTCCCCCTGGAGCAATGTTTTAGTATTCCCTAATTTAGCGTTCAAGGCAACTTTATAAAACATTGCTACTCTGGATAAGAGGAATCAAATATTTGTTTGTGTCTTATTCCCTCTGTTGGAGAACACTGATTAAAATGAATGATTTTGTATACTGCAGGGCTACAGTAACCAAAACAGCATGGTATTGGTACAAAAACAGGCACGCTCATAGACCAATGGAACAGAATAGAGAACCCAGATAAGGGAAAACTCCTCCAACCATCTGATCTTTGACAAAGCTGATAAAAACAAGCAATGGGGAAAAGATTTCCTCTTCAATAAATGGTACAGGATAACTGGTTAGCCATATGCAGAATACTGAAGCTAGACCCCTTCCTTACACCATATATAAAAATCAACTCAAGATGTATTAAAGACTTAAATGTCAAACCCAAAACCATAAAAACCCTGGAAGGCAACCTAGGCAATACCATCCTGGACATAGGAATGGGGAGAGATTTTATGGCAAAGACACCACAAGCAATTGCAACAAAAGCAAAAATTGAGAAATGGTATCTTATTAAACTTAAGAGCTTCTGCACAGCAGAAGAAACTACCAACAGAGTAAAGAGACAACCTAGAGAATAGGAGAAAAAATTTGCAAACTATGCATCTGACAAAGGTCTAATATCCAGCATCTATAAGGAACTTAAACCAATCTACAAGAGCAAAACAAAAAACCCCATTAAATATCGTGCAAAGGACATGAACAAATACTTTTTAAAAGAAGAGACACATATGGCCAACAATCATATGAAAAAAAGCTCAATATCACTGATCATTAGAGAAATGCAAATCAAAACCACAATGAGATACCATCTCACACCAGTCAGAATGGCTAGTACTAAAAAGTCAAAAAATAACAGATGCTGGCGAGGCTGCAGAGAAAAGAGAGCACTGGTACACTGTTGGTGGGAGTGTACATGGTTCAACCATAGTGGAAAGCAGTATGGTAACTTCTCAAAGAGCTAAAAACAGAACTACCATTTGACCCAGCAATCCCATTACTGGGAATATACTCAGAGGAACAGAAATGTCTCTAATAAAGACACATACATGCGAATGTTCACTGCAGTACGATTTACAATAGCAAAGACATGGAATCAGCCTAAATGCCCATCAATGACAGATTGGATAAAGAAAATTTGGTGCAGGTACACCATGGAATGTGATGCAGCCATAAAAAAGAATGAGATCACATCTTTTGAGGGAACATGGATGGAGCTGGAGGCCATTATCCTTAGTAAACTCATGCAGGAACAGAAAACCAAGTATCACATGTCCTCACTTATAAGTGGGAGTGAAATGATGAGAACTCATGAACACAAAGAAAGGAAAAACAGACACCAGGGCCTACTTGAGGGTGGAGGGCAGGAGGAGAGAGGAGCAGAAAAACATAACTATTGGGTACTAGGCTTAGTACCTGGGTGATGAAATAATCTGTACAACGAACCCTGTGACATGAGTTTATCTGTATAAAAAACCTGCACACATACCCTCAAACCTAAGATACAAGTTTTAAAAAAGGATGTTTTCTATAACAATGACATGTACAAAACTCTCATATTCTATAACTCCTAACTTCATTCTTTCATAGGTAACGTTATTTGCTCTTTTGCTTATGTATTATTTTTAAACCAATGCAATATCTATTTTTAAAAATGTAATACAATAAGAAATACCATAATCTTTACAATAGCAAAGACCCGGAACCAACCCAAATGCCCATCAATGACAGAGTGAACAGGGAAAATGTGGCACATATACACCATGGAATATTATGCAGCCATCAAAAATGATGAGTTCGTGTCCTTTGTAGGAACATGGATGAACCTGGAAACCATCATTCTCAGCAAACTGACACAAGAACAGAAAATCAAACACCACATGTTCTCACTCATAGGCGGGTGTTGAACAATGAGAACACATGGATGCAGGGAGGGGAGCATCACACACTGGGGTCTGTTGGGGAGAAATAGGGGAGGGACAGTGGGGGGGGGAGTTGGGGAGAGATAGCATGGGGAGAAATGCTAGATATAGGTGAAGGGGAGGAAGGCAGCAAATCACGCTGCCATGTGTGTACCTATGCAACAATCATGCATGTTCTTCACATGTACCCCAAAACCTAAAATGCAATAAAAAAAAGAGAAATACCATAATCTAACTATTGTGATCATTATAATTCTGAGCCACTGTTCCAAACAAAACAGTTAAAATATTTTCACGTAAATCTCCCATAATACTAGGTCAAGGGTTCTTAATTTCTCTCATATTTAAATGTATCAACCAAAGTGATGGGTTCTGAGAGTTTGCACATTTTTAGAGTACCACAATAATCCATCCAGTGGAACATGACACCCCATGGATAAGCCCAGGGGATCTGTGTAACTTTCAAGGGAATGTTCTGTCATTCAAATATGTGTTCATTCTGCATGTTCTCACTCATAAGTGGGTGTTGAACAATGAGAACACATGGACACAGGGAGGAGAACATCACACACTGGGGTCTGTTGGGGGGTGGGGTGCAAGGGGGTAGCAGGGGGTGGGGAGATCGGGGAGGGAAAACATTAGGAGAAATACCCAGTGTAGATGATTGGGAGATGGAGGCAGCAAACCACCATGGCATGTGTGTACCTATGTAACAATCCTGCAAGATTTACGCATGTACCCCAGAACTTAAAGTAAAATTTAAAAAAAAAGGGTTCATTGAATCTGGACTAAAAGAATCATGTTTGAATTATTTGTTGAATAATTTGACAAATGAGACACTGATGTAACTGTGTCCAACCCTGTGGTATCTGACTTAATAAAATAACTGTATATAAAAATGTATAGAAATATATAATTCAGACCAACATTGCTGTTCTTCTAATTCCTTGTGTTAAATGGAGGAAACAAATAAGTAGGTAAACAGTAATGAATTTTAATATTTTGTTATGCATTTCACAGGTAAGTGAATAACCACCATGACTTAGCAATACAAATTTAGTGTGTCAGACATTTCCAGATACATTATCTCCTTTGAACTTCAGAGTAGCAGTGTGAGTTAAAAAAAAAACCATATGGAAAAGGGTTTGGTGAAAATTTTCAGAGCTAGAAAGTGACAGAGCCAGGGCTGGAATAGAGGCTTTAGGGCAAGAAGTTTCAAGAAGACCCCAGAGACTCTGAGAGGATGGGAAGATCTTATCTTCAATGAGCAAGATACTGGCCCAGGGGTGGTACTTTGTGGGTTTCAGTCCTCACACTGCTTTCTTATTTAGTGTTCATGTAAGTTAATTAAATCAGAGTATGTATAATGCATCATATAATTATATGCTAATGGTTCCCTTAGCAACTCTTATGTTTCTCCTATGTACTCTGCCTTTATTCTCTTCTGAGGCCCCTAGCAATGACGTGTCCTTTTAGAATATAAAATTAAAACCAAGTATTCTAAATTATTTTCATCATCTGGAAATTTTGATGTATTTTTGACATCTTACCATTACATCCCTTAAAACTTCTTTAGGGGTTCTAGAACAAGGACTATTTTTTTGTATGCTCACTTGACTGCAATTTCAAGCTATGGAAATAAGTGATCAATATTATTCTCCCAAGCCAAGAGCCATGCAGGGTAAGCATAAAGCTCCTCAACGAAATTCAGAAATGGTCATCTAGAACGTTGCTTTTCACAGCTCTACATATTTTTTTCTTACTATTGTTAAGCCTAAAGCTGCTTTCTTACATATTTTAGGTTGGGCCTAGAGGTCTCTCCATGCATAATAAACAGGAACCTAAGTGTGTGTGTAAACAGACTGTAACCTACTCTTGTACCAATCACTGAGTTTCAGTCAATCAAAAGCAGCTCACTGTTCAAACTGTATTAAATAAGGAAAATGTCAAGCTCAACCAATCTGGCTGTGTGTTCCTCACTTCTGTTTTCTGTAAGCTTTGTTCTGTTTTCTGTCCATAAATCTTTTAAACCATAGTCTCTCTCAACTTATTCTGGTTCAGGGCTGCCTAATTTGGAAATCATTCTTTGATTAATTAAATTCCGTTAAATTATTTATCTAAGATTTTTCTTTTAACTATCAATTTGAGTATAGATACTTGGTGTCTTTAGAGCTAAATATTTTGCCACTGGATCATGTAAATTTCAAGAATCAAGGATCTTCATTGATGTATTCATTCATTCAATACATCTTTTTGAATATCTAGTTAAGTGATACATATTGTCTGAGGAACTGGGAAGACTAAGGTATATAAGATGTAGTTCTTGAATTCCCAAGAGGATCACTCCAATGAAAGAGACAGCTGACTGATCCAGTCTTCATGACCACCATCTACTCTGGGGTCAGTGAAAGTCAAGAAAGGCTTTCCTAAACTGGCAATATGGTTGTTGAGTGTAAAGATCCTAGAGTGTTAAGCTAGCCATAAACTTTCTACATGCCTCAGCTTTTCTTTGATTATCTTGTCCACTGCATTATCAAGATAAATCCATTAATACGAATAGCTGCAATAAAGAAATCTTTAAGAAAACAATTTAGCTTTTAAGTGAAGAAGCAGGTGAGATTTTATATGGAAGACTCAGCAAGAGTTAATTTTCTTTCTCTTCCCTGATCCATTTAGCTTATGTTATACCAGGCGTATTTCCCCCATAGTATTTAAAAAACAAATATTTAACCATATTTCTCTGAAAATTATTTAGGAATAGGTCTTAATATCCTTCTATTTTGAAATGATATGAGAGCCTTCCCTTAATAAAACATCTTCATGGTGCTTAGAAAGACTGTATTTAAAAAAAAAAAAAAAAACTCCAAAACTTGAGAATATATAGTCCCTTAAATCTATAGTTCACTGATCAACTTATAAAGTTCTCTGAATACTCACAGGGGAAAATGAAACTCAGTTCTATTTTGCAATTTCCATTGCAATTTCTTCCTTGAAATTTTTAATTATTTTGAGTGGGATAAGAAGTTATTAAGCATATGAGATTTAAGAGCTTTTGGTAACTGATATATTATTGTTGTCTATCATTTTAATTCCACTTTGATTTAAACTCCAAAATTAATCATTTTAAACAATAAATGCTTATTTGGGCATTGATCAAGTTCTTTTCTCCAAACTGCTTCTCGAAATAGATTTCCTTTTTCTTGGTTTAATTTTCTTCTTATAGAAGGCTATCTTTAGTAGATCTCTTAGTGATGGTCTGTGAATGGGAAATCCTTCCAACATTGGTTGCCAAATTCAAATAATCTGGCTATACAATTTTAGGTTAACTAGTATTTTCTCTCAGGGCCTTGAAACTATTCTTCATTTCTGACCTTCATAAGTGCTTATACAATTTTGAAGATAGGATATATATTTATTCCTTTGCTCCTTTAAAATACTCCTTTATAAAAGTAAAATCTCTTTTTCCTTGAGTTTCTTCAGTTTGGGGAGGTGTGTCTATTGGTAGTCTTTAAATTTTCACCAACTGTAACTAGCCGTCAGTATATTTCAGAATTTGAGAATTCATGTCCTTGTTCAGTTCTAAAAACTACCTCAACTATGATTTCAGTAAATACTGCTGTTTCTTCTGCTCTCCTACTGAAACCCCCTACCGTGTTTTCTTCTGGGTCTAACACCTTTTTCTCTATGCCTTTTAACCTCTCTTCCATATTTTCCATCTCCTTATGCAGCTGTGCAGCATTCTAGATCCATCTTCAAATTTACTTGTTCATTGAGATTTTAATTATAATGACCGTATTTATTTGTAATAATATTTGTATTATTACAAGGTCTCTTTGGTTATCAAATCTTCCTGGAATTTTTCCTGATTTTTTCCTAATATTATCTAGCTTTCTTATATCATTTTTTTGTGGGTAATTTTGTATCATTTTAATGGTCTAAAAATATTATTTAGATTATTATTTTTTTTTTTTTTTGAGAGGGAGTCTCACTCTGTCACCCAGGCTGGAGTGCAATGGCACAATCTCTGCTCCCTGCAAGCTCTGCCTCGTGGGTTCAAGCGATTCTCCTGTCTCAGCCTCCCGAGTAGCTAGGACTACAGGCATGTGCCACCACAAAAATTAGCCTGGCTAATTTTTGTATTTTTTACTAGAAACAGGGTTTTATGACATTGGACAGGCTGGTCTTGAACTCCTGACCTTGTAATCTGCCCGCCTCAGCCTCCCAAAGGGCTGGGATTACAAGCGTCAGCCACCACGCCCAGACTGTTTAGATTACTCTAACATAAATTTCTTGTCAATCTGTTGACTTTCCTTTATGATATAGTATTTTCTTGGGTGGTTTCTCATGTTTGTGGCTAGCTTACCTTCAGCAGAGCAGATTTTCTTTTCTTATGGGAATTCCATGTGCAATGGACTAGGAATCAATCCTCTGCAGCAATTTTAGCTTTACTTTTTCCAGGTGATATAATTTGTATATTTGTCCCCACCCAAATTTCATGTTGAATTGTAATTCTCAGTGCCAGAGATGGAGCCTGGTGGAAGGTGTTTGGATCATAGCGATGGATTAATCCCGCATGGCTTGGGGCTGTCACATGATAGTGAGTTCTCATGAGATCTGGTCGTCTAAAAGCGTGTGGCCCCTCCCCCTCACCCCTCTCCCCCTTGCTTCTGCACTATGTGACATGTTTGTTCTCTCTTTGCCTTCCACCATGATTGAAAGCTCCCTGAGGCTTCATCAGAAGCCAACCAGATGCCAGCACCATGCTTCCTGTACAACCTGCAGAACCATGAGCCAATTAAACCTCTTTTTTTTTTTTTTTTTTTTAGAAATTACTCAGTCTCAGGTTATTTATAGCAATGCAAGAATAACCTACCACACCAGGTATTCCAAGAGCTTGAAAGCCTGAAGTCAGTTTTTATGTTTACTTATTGGCTTGGTGACTCCTCAGGGTTTGACTTCTAATATACTAACTTGTTTCTCTTTCCACTTCCTAACTGCTTCCCTGGGTTGGCTGACATAGTTATAACGGCTTGGTGTTGAGGTCCTGTCTTTCTTCTGGGGTCTGTCATTCCTCCTCACTATCTATGGTCTCCAAGTTATGTTCACTGTCACTTTGGGAGCATTACTCCTCGTCCCCACTCCTAGTGGAATATTAAATCCAATATTCTCCCAGACCTCTGCAGACTTTCAAACTTACCACTCTCCATTTAAATTCATTCTTTGTTTCTGACATCTAGTTACAGATTTTCTCTGATACAACTAGCAATGTGTTGTTACATTTTTAGCCACCATTTCTTTGAGTCTAAAGAAATAGGGCATTTGTTTTAGTTCTGACAATCCCTTATGTGAAGGACCAGTAGAGTCATCAAAATGTTTTTCTCTCCAGATTTTATTCAACAGAAATGCTGCTTTCCCTCAGGAAGTAGTCCCACAAAATGGTTTCCATAAATTCAATCAATTGGTAAGACAGAAGATCTCAGTTGAAAACTATTTCAAATGCAAACTACGAAAACCATCAGGGAGGTAGAAATCTAATATTTCTTGTCAACTATATAGAAAAATATGTCTTTGTAAACAATTCAATTTAAACTATAAAAAACTACAAATAAGCATTACAATCTTTTAGATGTTTCTCTACTTACTACAGAACCTTTGCTGTGAGGAGCTAATCTTATGTTAATATTTTGCCAAAGATGGTGAAATAAAATGCTAATTTAAAATAAGTATATTTTATTTGGCTACCGTTGTTTTTTTTTTCTGGAGTATACTATCATTATATTTCTTTGCACTTTTAACAGGGAAATTTTAGGACATGATTATATGCATGGTCTCTAGGTCACATTTTAAGCCACAAAACCAGAAAGACAAGATGTTTCTAATGTTTGACCTTGTCCCTTCTATTCAACTGTCATATATGCTCGTATATTCTTATTTTTAAAAAATAGAGACAGACTTTCACTGTGTTGCCCAGGCTGATCTTTAAATCAGACAAATGCAATTACTTGATTCCAAGATTGTCAATTACTGGTTTGTTTACAATAGGGAGAAACCAGAAAATAAAACTAAATATTTGAATGACTTTGGGTTTGTGGGACATCTAAATGACAGAATATCATGCAACTATTAAAACAATGTTTTTGTAGAGAATTAAGTGATATTAGTAACTCTGCATAACAATACCAAGCAAAAAATAGGACATATAATTGTATTTTGAAGAAAAACTAGCAAAATGCAACATACTATAATTTTAGAAATATGAATAATTCCTAGGTTTAGGTTGTCTTGTATTACCTTGCATTTTTTTTTTCATACTTTGAAAAATTTCTATAGGGAATAAAAATTACTTTTACAATAAAAAATGCGGCTGGGTGCATTGGCTCAGGCCTGTAATCTTAGCACTTTGGGGGACTGAGGCAGGCAGATCATGACGTCAGGAAATCAAGACCATCCTGGCTAACACAGTGAAACCCCATATCTACTAAAAAAAAAAACAAAACAATTAGCCAGGCGTGGTGGTGCGTGCCTGTAGTCCCAGTTACTCAGGAGGCTGGGACAGGAGAATCGCTTGAATCCAAAAGGTGGTGTTTGCAGTGAGCCAAGATCACACCATTGCACTCCAGCCTGGGTGACAGAGCGACATTCCATCTTCAAAAAAAAAAGCAAGAAAAACATATTGGTGTTCTGATAGCAAACTTTAAATAATCATAAAGGCAGAGTTAAAACTTTTCAAGATCACGCTGCACAGAATTATGAGTGATAAGAACATGGGTTATGCAACAAAGAATCATCTGTCAAAAGGAGGAGGAAACAAATGTATCACAGTGGGCCAGAAGATTTGCTCATCAGTGCTAGAACTTTCTGTGAAAATGGAAATGTGGTATGTCTGTGCTGTCCAATATGGTAGCCGTTAGCCACATGTGGCTATACAGCACTTGAAATGTGACTAGGAGATGAAGGAACAGAATTTTCAATTTAAGTAATATTTAAATTTAAATAGTCACATGTAATTAATGGCCTCCCTGTTGGATAGCACAAATCTACTTGATCACTTAAGGTTTATTGTCTATTCATTAGTGGGAAGAATAATATATTTATATCAATGATATGTTAATTATATATTAAAAATAAGTAATTATACATAATTATAGTTGGCAGAACTGGCCTAGTTATTTTCCCCACAACAATGCTGATCTTCCCATGATGAGTCCAAGATTTTGCAACATTTGGCTTTGGCTATGGTTTGGATATCTGACCCCTCCAACCCTCCGGTTGAAATTTGATCCCCAATGATGGACATGGGGCCAAATGGGAGGTGTTTGGGTCATGGGTGCAGATCTCTCGTGAATGGCTTTATGCCATCCTAGTGGTAATGAGTGAGTTCTCTTTTTAGCAGCCACAAGAGCTAGTTTTTAAAAAGAGCCTTGCTATTTCCCACCTCACTTGTGCTTCCTCTCTTGCAATCTGATCTCTGCACAAGTCAGCTCTCTTTCACCTTCAACCTTGAGAGGAAGCAGCCTGAGGCCCTCACCAGAAGATGCCGTCAACATGCTTCTTGTACAGCCTACAGAACTGTGAGCCAAATAAACCTCTTTTCTTTGTAAATTACCCAGCATCTGCTATTCCTTCATAGCAACACTAAATGAACTAAGACAGTTTTTAACTACAAAGGTGTCATCTGTTACTATTATTCATTCTCATCTTCATTCCAGGTAAGTAAATTCTCAGTTTTGGCTTCTCTTAGTTCCAAGATACAACACAAGTCATTCCTTGTTTTGGGGAGGAGAGAGTCAGGATGAAGAAAAGAATAAAATTCATTGAAAATTTAAAATTGAGATAATTAAATACATGAACTAAAAGTGAGTAATATAATACCTTCTCCCAGAAAAGATCAGGGCTGGGAGTATTACGAATCTTTGACATTTCTTAAAGTACATTTTGCTGCATTTTGTGTGTAACCAATGTGTAACAGCTCATCTTCGCGCGCACACGTGCACACACACACACACACACACACACACACAATCATTCTCAAATGTGAGAATAAAATTAAATTATTTTCTTACGTAATTTTGGAGTAAGTTTATTTAGAGTCATATGTTTTGTATTTTTACTGAAATATATGCTTGTCATCTGCAGTTTTATAAAAGGATAGCATTCATTCTCTCTCCCTTCCCCTGTCTCTCTCAATTTGCCCAGAGGGATTAATCAACAGAAATCTAAATTTTAGAAAACCTGTTTTAAAAGAGTATTTTTTTTCTCTATTTTGGGTTTTTGGTATAAACAAAACTGTTTTTTTCAATGGGTGTTGGGCAAAGAAGGTCTGGGAAAGTTTATATGAATTGCCAAGCATAGAATATTGATCGTTAGTCAATCAAGCTGGATGATACTGAACATTAGACTTAGTCCACAGAAGAATAATAGAGGTATAGGGATATAAACATATTTTAAAAATGTTGAATAAGGGACAATTCCAGTTTTTTTTTTTTTCAATTTCAGTTCACAATGCATAGTATTTTCAATGTTTCATGCATGGCTAAATATACAAACATCATAAATGATTCTATAAAAGCATTATAGGGTGCCTGCTCTTAAAAATTACCAGTAGCTAACACTTTTGCCAGTTCAGGGTACAAAAGAAATAAAGACCAGAAGGTGCTAAAATGACCCATATCACTATGGTTATAAATTTTGAAACTTACAATGCACACCTTAAAATCAACTTAAAATTTCCAAGGAAACCAATGAAGATATTTTAAGACAAGAATAATATGATTTGCAAATCAAAATCCATTTAAGATTGTTGCCACAGCACTATATGTTAATTGTTGCTTGCCCATATTTTTTTAGAAAGTCAGAAAAAAATATCTTAAGTTCCACGAATCCAGCAATAAATAAGACAGCAACCCTCATTTTCTTACCCGTCTGCTTCGTTAACATGATATATGTCAAACATAATGAAGAATATGTGAAGAGAACCCTTGTTACCAACAAAGATCTTGTAATGTCTTAAACAGAGAGAACAGAAAAACCAGAAAGCAGCAGCAATAGGTAGACAGAGAGAGGAAGGGAGGAAACTATTGACTGAGTAACTATGTATGATTGGAAATCAGATCTCATTTTACACCCAACTGTAACTGAGAAAACTGAGCCTCAAAAAAAAGTTAAGTCATTGACACAAGGTATCAACTATTAAATGCTGAGCCAGGATAGGAAACCCAGTTAGTCTGATTCCAAAACTTATATTCTTGTACAGCCTACCATACCGTGAGCCAAATAAACCTCTTTTCTCTATAAATTACCCAGCGTCAGCTATCCCTGCATAGCAACACTAAATGAACTAAGACAGTTTTTAATTACAAAGGTGGCATCTGTTTCTACTCTGTACTCTCATCTTCCTTCCAGGTAAGTACATTTTCAGTTTTGGCTTCTCTTAGTTCCCAGGTACAACATTCCTTCACAGCACAACACCTTTTAAAAGATACAACAACTTCTAAAGTAGCAAATGGTGCTACTTTGCTGATGGATCAGACAGAAGGAATGGGAGAATGCAATGCACTTGGGGTACTCAGTGGAAGTGCTGGAGTGTGGAGTTCAAGTCCTGAGAGAATGTATTCATGGACAAAGAAGTAGCCATCAGGGAAAGGTCATGCTGGAGCTACGCTGAAGTGTACAGCTTGTTTCTGGACTCTATTCCTCTCCTTGACTATAAGATGACACAGACCAGGGATCTCATCTCTACTCCCACCTTTGCATGAACAGAATGCCTTGCACATCACTAGGTGCACAATAAGTATTTGTAAATGTGTATTTTAAAAAATTGCTCATGTCAGTTATGATATGAAATTAATCGGTGAAAATGCTAGTTGGGACTGAATCTAGAGCTACTAATTTCCCAGGTTCCCTCTGACACCATCCGTCAGGCATTTAACCTTCAGAGTACACTCAGCAATTGCAAAGTAGTGTCCTGGTGACTCCGTTCCCAGACGTCCCCCTTAACATATTGAACTCTAGAGCGTTTCATCTGGTGGTTTGAACCAAGAATTGGAATAGTCATTTGAGCAGAGGAATTCTAGGTCCTCCATATAACCTAAGCAAAGACATTTTTTTTCCAAGCTAGAAAAACATGCCTAAAACAGAAATAGGTCTAAGCAGTCTTTGTAAGCCTTGCCATTTCCACCTCCCTCCAGGGAATCCAACCTGCGGGGCCACATTGGACCTTGACAAACAGCACAGTGATCTAGGAGTACAATGCGTTATCATGGTTGCTTTTATTCTAACAGCTGGGAGCTGGCCAAAGCTTTGCAAAGAAACCAGAAAGCAACAGCAGGGCACTGGGCTGCCTTAGAAAAACATTTCTTGGCTCAAAGAGGAACCTCTTTATCAAGAACCTGACACCTCAAACTTAGCAAAAAGGCATAGCTCAGGTCAATCACATAAAACACAGTTTGACAAAATTTGTCCCATAACAATGCTAGAAATATAATAGTATAATACATTTGGTATACTTAAGAGCCTGAGAAAAGGTACAACCGCTTAAGAATAAGTTATAGAAAATCTCTGTTAAATACTCCAAGGAAGGATTCAGGCATCTTCCTACTTATCTAACTTTTTAGTGTATTCTAAACTTGGCCGGGAAGGAGAGGTGTGATTGGCTTGGTGATTCCAGTAGCTCTCTGGTCCTTGGCTGCTTCACCTTTGCCTGAAACTGTTGAATGGGATGACTCCTTAGATTTCCTCCAGCTCTGACATTCCATGACTAAAGGAAGTCTAGCTTTAACACTAGCATTGACTTCCTGGGGCAACGGAGAGTTTTAATGTATGCAATTGTCATGCCAGAAAAAATTTCAAAACATGGCGAGGGTTCCTCAGGTTTATTCTCTCTTGTTCAGGAGAATAAAATCATATATTTTAAATATACTAGTATAAACCTTATGAGTAAAATAGTATAAATCTCTCTTCTGTTAAGAGAATGTAGAAATAAAATACTAAAGTTCCCCCACTCCTTCTTCGCTCAAGGAAAAGATGAACTTAGATATGTGCTTCCTTTTAAGCAAGTTTTAATGAAATAATTTTTTTTGGCAGGTCACTTGAGCTTTAAAGCAGTATTTTTGTTTCAAAAATAGCACAAAAAGTTGTTCTCCAACAAGCGATGCAGCAAGGGTGGAATGTTTTCCACCTAGGGTGTTAGTGAAAGGCCCTGTCTCTGAATGTCCCATGTTGAGATAACTTCAATGTTTGATCAAAAACTAAATCTTATCCCATAATAAGTGAGCAATGTTCTGTTTGCTCCATCCCTCACTATTAAGCAATGAAAAGACAAGGCCTTTCCTGTTGATACATTTGTCAACCAAGTTAAACACAGTGTCTTGTCAGCCTCAACTGCTAGACTTCAGGAGATGGAATTTTCATGAAATGAGAGTGCTGATTCATAAAATACATGCCATTAGTTTTAATTTAAATTATGAATAATCTTGTCCATGGTCTTCTTTTATTTTTTTAAAATTCCCTTCCATTCTTTGATTTTTAGAGTCTTTTACAAAGTCAGAACAGTTTGTGTTTTTACCATGGCCATCATGGTTAACTTTTTTTTTTTCTTTTGAGATGGAGTCTTACTCTGTCACCCAGGCTGGAGTACAATGGCATGACCTCGGCTCACCGCAACCTCTGCCTCCCAGGTTCAAGCAATTCTCCTGCCTCAGCCTCCTGAGTAGTTGGGATTACAGGCATGCGCCACCACGCCTGGCTAATTTTTAGTAGAGACAGGGTTTCTCCATGTTGGTCAGGTTGGTTTCGAACTCCCGACCTCAGGTGATCTGTCTGCCTCAGCCTCCGAAAGTGCTGGGATTACAGGCCTGAGCCACCACGCCCAACCACTAAGTCATGTTTCTACCTAAAACTTACCCAGAGTAAGATAACACAGCCATGGAATCTTCTACCCTACCTAAATGTGTCATAATCAAACGTCTTTGAAACTCAACTCTAAATGGTAGCATGGATGGAAAACTCTGATCCGATTTGCAAGGCTGGCTTAAAGGGCACAAGGAGATACAGTTATAAAAGGGCTGGACTACAATAAAAGTCACAGGCCAATAGATCTGTATAGTCAGGTTTTTGTCACGTAATTTATTAACTATGATAGAAACACAATTAAGAATACCAAATATTTCTCTGGCTCTTGACACAGTTGACTTAACCTTTTGCTGTCCAAAGACTTGAGGTTTCCTGTTCTGGGTGCTACTGGCAAATGTTCTAGTACTTGCATTTGGGATGCACAATTTCAACCACTGACTTATTGGCGCAGCCATGTGTGTATTGCAACTGGCCATTAAATTAAACACAGAGCCACCTGGCTTTAGTCCAGTCACTTCAGGAAGCATATTTAGCGTCGGTAGTTCTGCTTTATTAAAGGGCGGCAGACGTGCTCTTCTGTCCCTTTCGTTTATGGTTCTTCAGGGAAGTTCTGACATTTGGTTTTGTTTTGTGTTTGCTTTTGTATTTTTATATCTTGTATTTATCCTCGAATGTATTTTGAACACTTTTTTAAGGAATGAAATTCTTTTGTGTATCTATAGACATTTGCATGCTATACTGTTGTCAAGGTTCGGTTCCTCAAAAGCTCTTGCTGCTGTCAGGTGTGATGGACTCTATCCATCAAAGTTCTATGGAACACAGTTTGTATGTAAATAAATGTGGGGCATTTGGCCCTTGTAACCGGAGGATATTATGGTAGGCGAAATAAGCCAGAAGCAGAAAGTTAAACACCGCATGGTCTCACTCAGATGCGGAAGCTAAAACACAAAGTTGATCTTACAGAAGCAAAAAGTAGAACAGAGGAATCTAGAGGCCAAGCTAGATAGGAGGAAACGGGGTTAGGTAGAGATTTGTTAAAGGATAGAAATTTAGAGCTATATAGGAGGAATAAGTTCCAGTGTTCTGTAGCACCGTAACATGACTATAGTTAGCAATAATATATGGTTTCAAAGAGCTAGAAAGAGCATACTGAATGTTCCCAACACAAAGAAATAATAGTGTTTGAGATAATGAATATGCTAGTTACCCTGATCTAATCACCACACATTATATGTATTGCAACATCACTATGTACCTTATACATATGTACAATTATTATGTGTCAATTAGCTTTTTTATTTTTTTTTTTGAGACAGAATCTCACTCTGTTGCCCAGGCTGGAGTGCAGTGGTATGATCTCAGCTCACTGCAACCTCTGCTTCCCAGGCTCAAGGGGATTCTCATGCCTCAGCCTCCCAAGTGGCTGGAATTACAGGTGTGCGCCACAACGCCCAACTAATTTTTGTATTTTTAGTACAGATGGGGTTTTGCCGTGTTGGCCAGGCCAAGCAGTGATCCGTCTGCCTCAGCCGCCCAAAGTGCTGGGATTACAGGCCTGAGCCACTGTGCTCGGTCAGTTAAAAAAAAATTTTTTTTTTTAAAAGAATTCTCTTGTTCATTCCTACTACATCCTGGGCACGAAGCTAAACATCTGTGCCATACATTGACTGTCTTCCTCTGTCTCAGTCTCTCTCCTTTCATCAAAGTTTCCCTTTAATTCCCAAATACATCCAACTCCCTTCCATACTGAACACCATACCACTACTCAGCATCATTTCCATCTTGCAAGCAGGTTTTTTCTCTGTCTCTTTTTCCCCTTATCTATCCATCCACCCATTCATCCATCCATCCACCCATTCATCCATTCATCCACCCATCCATCCACCCATTCATCCATCCATCCACCCATCCATTCATCCATCCATCCACCCATCCATCCATCCACTCACCCATCCATCCATCCACCCATCCGTCTACCCATTCATCCACCCATCCATCCACCCATTCATCCATCCATCCACCCACCCATCCATCCATCCACCCATCTGTCTACCCATTCATCCAACCATCCATCCATCCATCCATCCATCCATCCATCCATCCATCTCTTTTCTCTCACTTCACTGCCAAATATTTGGGAAAGCAGTCCAAGCTTACTGCCACCTGTGCTTCTTCATCTCTCATCCTGTCCCTGAAATCTGATCTCCCTAACATCTCTCATTTTCTCTCATTGGTTATTCTTCTGGTGATTTCTTCTTAAATGTTTATGTTCTCTAGGTTTCAACTTGGGCCCTCTTTTTGTCTCAGTCCACATGTCCTCTCCGAATGATCTCATCTGTGACCATGGCTTTAACTATAACCTGACTCTAGTGACTAAAAAATCTTTCTGTCCAACACCAATCTTATGTTGTTACTTTAGAATGGAATAGCTCCTGCATACAGGGTGCCTATAGTTAAATATCCAGCTATCTGTAAGTCTTGCAAACAGAACAATGGTATGAAAATCCAGCTGAAAGAC